TTTTTTTGACTCAGTCATGAAAATGCAACTTAATTATTTTCATTTTTTTATCCAAGTAAAGATGTATTTTAGTATAATTTTCAATAGATTTTATAGTGTTATGAACATTTTTTAAAATTATTTTCCACAGATGTGAACGAATGCACTAGCTTCGAGAACCTGTGTATGCACGGGCTGTGTATTAATACTCTTGGAAGTTATCGTTGCGATTGTAACTACGGCTACGTTAGGGATTCGTCGAACACGCAGTGCATTAGTGAGTGGACATGATAACATTTTCCAGGTTTGCTTTGTATGATAAACATTGCCAGCCGCATTTTATGTATAAATTGATTTATTTATTTCCATTAAAAAGATATCACATGATCATGTGATCAGAGTGAACAGGTGCATTTAAATGTAGATAATGTAGATAATGCATTGCTATGTGGTACATGACAACCAATCATAGGAATGAAAATTCACGATGTTTATGTTTTCAACAATTACTAGGGTGACATGGACATCTGGGATTCCCACTTGTATTAATTCAAGGAAATTCTAATTAATTTATTTGTCTGCTTAAAAGGGTACATGCCATGTATACGCCTACAAAATTACTTTTTTATTTTTGCATTACTCAAACGAAGATGTTTGAAGAGATTTTATCAGATAGTATGTTTGTTATCTGATTTAAAATAATGTGTTTTCAACCCTGACAATGTTCTACTTCAGTAGATAAAATCTTATCATACATTGTCAGTTAAGGCTGATAGCCAACATTCTGACAAATATTTTATCAGATTTTATCTAAAACATGCCAACACTATCAATTTTTTTGAGACAATTATCTGTGATTTGTCTATTTTGAGATCTGACCACAAAATGAATCACATGGTGGGAAAATCTTCCACACATTTGTAATTATTTCTATTTTACCTTGTTATGTTAATTTGTTATGTATTTTTTATTTTGATGTGTGGTAAATTTGAATTAATTGGAATTGACATAGAAAATTTAAGTTTTAATTTTTTTAATTATATTATTTTATCATTGTATTGATTTTTTTTGTAGGGCAAAAGCATGGAAAGTGCTTTACGAAAGAAGGTTGTGTGTCAGATAGTTTATCAGGATTTATGTCCGAGATGGAGTGTTGCTGTAGTGGAATCGGCAAATCCTGGGGAGACCAATGCCATGCATGTCCTGCTGAAGATATAAGTAAGTAACATGATAGATTCATCCTGGATTTGAGTTTGAACAGGAGTGGGATAATATAAGGAAAGGAAGAGATGGGAATAGTGTAGGAAGGTTTGCTGGTAATGATTTGGTTGTGTGATGAATAGATTTATGACTCAAAATTAGTTTTACTTCATCATTCAAAAATACATTATGGCTCTCACAATACAAGAATATATTAGTAGTAATAAATTTAAATGGCAAAACACTTATTTACATACAGATGTGCACGTAAAATTTCTAAAAGAAAGTGTTAAAATTGATCTAAACTTGGTTGTTATTGTTGAATAGACTTTTTGCACTGGGAAGGTATGATTTTTTTTTTAATGACAATTTGTATTTTGAAAGTGACAGTCAATCTAATAGGTCTACTAAACTTAAAAAACTTACGTAATGGAGTATAATACATAATCTATATTTTCATTTTATTGTTTATATGTACTATCAAAGATAATAAATAGCAGAAGATAGAGCAGCTTCCCAATATAGTAGAACATCCGTTCGAAATGCATTGTGGGTACACGGAGAGCAATTTTACCCCATCCGCGCGCGGCGGCGCTATAAAGAAATAATAAACAGCAATAAAGGCGCCGCTCTGGTTCGTTTGTTTCCTGTAGTTTCTCATTTTACCCCATTCACAGGAGGGCAGATCTTCCATCAATTTTAATACAAATACACGAGCAGCTCATTCTTCTGCTATTTAAGTTCTTTGGTACTATACACAATTTTATCGGGTCTATTTTGAAACAGCGCCTCCAACGTCTCGCAACTTTTCACTGGGGGGACATCCAGCAGCCTAGCCTTGACTGAGCAGCTAGCTAGTGGCAAGTAGAGCACCATGTGCACACTGGTAACTACATAGAGCGAAATGCCTAGGCTTCTGGATGGCCCCCGTGGTAGTTGCCAGGTCATCAAAAATTTTCATTCAAATTTTGCGATAGTGGTATATAGAATTAATGATTGGTTTGGTATGATAGACTTATGCAGATGGACTGAGGCATTGCAAAAAGAAAATATATCTGTATTTCTTAAGGATTTCTTTTCGATGATCCAAAAAATTATTATTATTATTATGTTTAATAGCAAATATATCACTGTTGTAGATACAAGCAGTAAACTTTTCACTAACAGAATATATCATAGGCATGTACTCTTAAGGATGCTTGACAGGAAATGAATAATAACAGTATAATAGAGATCTAGTTAGCGGCTTTTACCTAGGGACTCAAGGCACTCATCAAACGATAACAATAATAATCATCATCGTAAAATGATGAAAACAAAAATATGAGAGTCAAAGTGACTGACTCTGGCAAACTTTCCGTTTGTTGCAACTTCTAATTTTGCACAAGCACCCAAAATGTTTGAAAATCAGAATTTTGAGCATTTTCGGGTTTTTGCATTTTATACAAGAAGATATACTGAAGAACATTATTTCTGCAAAATGTCAAGTATTGTAATGAAAAGCATATTAACATTATTTTTGAAATACAAGTCTTAATAATAAACTACTGATTTTGGAATCTTTGGAAGCTTTTTTAAAGAATAATTCATGCAGAAAGTATTAAAAACTCTATTTTTTCCCGACAAATAACTGGTTTAACCGGAGCCAGTCAAATATTGGATAGCAAATCAGTGAAAAAGTTTTAAGAAGCTTTACAAAAATATAGCTAGACTAGGTAGGTAGCATTCGTAGGTTGATAGAAGGAGCGTTATAAAGGCAAGAAGCAGCCTTACTACCTTTTTTTTTTTTTTGTGAAATTTTAGGGTTGACAGCTTGAGTTATGCGTGTATATGGGATGAGGGAAGAAATGAGTTTGGGAAGAGTAGAATACAAAAAAATTGAGATTGGTTGGGTGAGATAGAATTTAATATAATGGAGGTGTAGTTGGGAGGATGGATATTGGTGTCGTGACACCCTTTAATATTCAAAACCCACCCAGTTTTTTAAATATTCAAAACCCACCCAGTTTTTTAAATATTCAAAAATCTGTATATCATTAACCATTCTTAATTTTTTTCGTCTAACACTATTTTTGTGTCTTAGAAAAATAGTTTGACAGCATATAATTATTATTTTTTCCTACAGAGCCTAGCTTAAAGGACGAAAGACTTTAAAGAGTATAATAAATGCAAGGCGATAAAGTACACATTTCTATAAGGCCAATTGATGAATTTGCATTTTTTTGATACCTTGTGGAAAAGGGAAATAAGATAGAATCAAAAGCATGAAGGGAATATTATTGTTTTTCTTTACACACTATACTCATTAATGGACTTCTCCTGCCCCCAGTTTGTATAATTTAAAATTTCTCCTTTCCGTCTTTTTTCTTTATTTTCATCGGTCCATCGAGACATCGGATAAGGAAACAATAGAGATGATAAACTAAAGGTTTGGTCAAAAATTAAAACAAAGTTTAGAAAAGAAACTCTATTTATACTGACTTATTAGAACCAGATGTACAGGTAACATGAAGGGGAAATCTGCGGTTAGTAAAAATTCTACCCAAATGTTAAGTAGATTATGAAATGTGTTAGCCTTGGAAAGGCTTTATTGTGTTGGCCTTCTACATGAAGCTGTAGCTAAATATGTGAGTAATATCTTCCGTAGTGAATACCAGAATGTGTTTAATGTTTTTTAATGACAGATTATGAATTATCCATCTTTAATTCTTATATATGATTAACTATTGCCAATATGACTAACAAAAGGCATTGACCTTTCTTCTCAGTATTCAAGATGAATCACAATCTTTAATAAACTAGAAAATAATAATATGATTTATAGCACCTTTCCAAAATAATCAAGACACTTACAAAATAACTAAAACCACTAATATCTAAAAGTTATAATGTTATGATAGGTATATCTAGAAATTAAGATTTCTATTTATTTTTTAATTTTTTATACCAGTAAACAATTTAGTATCAAACTACTTTTGTTCCATACATTTATACTGTACATATAATTTTCCATTTCGTTACTCATAATAAGGCCAAGGGAATATGGTGGCTTGGACTCCCAACCTTGAGGTCAGGGGTTCGAAACACTCGCTGTGCAAGTCGCTTGTGTCTTTGGGCAAGGCACTTTATCTACGTTTGTCTCTCTCTACCCAGGAGTATAAATGGGCACTTGGTAGGAAGTTGTGGCATTGAATGTTCTAGTTTCGTGCGCTAAAGAAGTAGTGAACGACTAGGGATACTCCCCAGGGAGCAGAGAAACTTGCACTTTGTGCTGGTCTGCCATTGTACGTTATCCAGTGACCAGGGGTAATAACGCTCGCGTATTATTATTATTATTATTATTATTATTATTATTATTATTATTATTATATTTATACATAAGTTTTTGGTTATGTGTTAAAGTGTGTCCTTAGCAACAATATCCAATGGGCGTGGCATTGAAACAGACCATTACTACACAGGCATTGTTTTGCACACTTTGTTGAACTTTCTAGCTAGTCTGATATGGTTGAATTAAGTGTGCTCTTTCTATGTTACAGTAACTACTGTTCCAATTTATACTCCCCTGTCGATCATTACAGTGTCAGTAGAATATCATATTATCACCCACATGAGTTAGATACTGTATATATTTTTGTTTAACTAGTAAATCATTTTGTATGTATATTTCACATAAAATATTTTTGTCGTTTATTACGAAGGATACAATGTTTTGGGAAATCTGAGGAACATTAGGTAATAGTTACACATAGAAATTAAGTAAACACAAAAAATGGCCAAAATTGATTTTCATTTCAGTGTTAAGTTACTATTAATAGGGAGTTTTCGCTGCACGACGTTAACCTTAATGTTAACGGATGACGTCATAATTTATTCATCTTGCGTTGCGGAGTACCTTATTTTCAGGATTTTACGTGCTCGACGGATGTTAGTTACGGGTTTGCGCATGCGTATTTCGATTTGTTTACAAAAGGGGCTTAGTTGGTGGTTGTTGTGTTGTAGCGGTGTAATATTACTAGCTAGAGATATCAGGTGAAATGTAGCCAAGCGGTAAAGATGCACGTTTTGTGTGTAAAGATGATTAAAAAAAATAAATAAAAAAAAAATAAAAAACAAGAGTGAGGTTTGATTATCTTTACACACAAAACGTGCATCTTTTCCGCTCGACCACATTTCACCTGATACATATAGCTAGTAATATTATACCCCTATAATATAACAGCGGATAAGAAAGATATGGTGTGACAGCAGGGCGAGGGTTTGTATTCTTAGATTATCTTGTTACATATTTTTCTTGATATCTCAATCAGCAGGTCATTTTTTTTGTTTTTCTCTTGTAAGTAATTATTTATTAAAAATTAAATATCCAACAATTATAATTATTTCAAAATTAGAGAATAGTTACTTAGAAGAGAGAATCTTCATCCAAAGGGCTTCACACTTTTATACAAGATTGTAAGACAAGAAAAAATGGAGCATGGAATGAAGTTTAGCGATGTATTTCATTGCTTATTTTGATAAGGTTTCTAGGAATGTTTGCCCTATAGGGTTGTGGCCTAGGGGTGTCTGTATGTGGGGAATGCAAACATACTTTAAAATGTATGATCAATCTAGCTTGTAACAGTTTATTACAGTTTGTGTGATATGTTTTATACCCTGTGGGACGTTGACTAGGTAAACATGATTAATTTTACTTTTGGTTGACCACAACTAAAATGCCATGCCAGTAATGTTAGCAATGTTGTGAGTCAAATACCTTAAGGCATGTATTTCTTAATACTACCAAGGTTGAAACCTAATGTTCCTTTTGGCAATAAGGGACTACTCTGAATCATAATGAGAAGGGGACTGATAAGGACTGTTCAATACTCAATGGCATAACGCTGGGGCCAGGGGCCCTAATGCCATTGTGGATTTTTACATATGCCCGTGTTTTAATCATGTTTTTGTCATTGTATTCTAACGACAAAAAATGCAATAGAGGGGGACAGGGAGATGCTTTCACAGATGGAGGGTCTATAGACCTAGCCACCTCAGCCCCACCATGTTTGGGGCTGAGGTAAGAGAATTTATGATTTGATAATTCAAACAATGTTCGGAAGGTCCACCTAGTGTATGTGGTATACAGTAATCTGGAAAAACACTCAAACCTTTAATAAAGATCAAGTTGAACTTTATTTATCCACGGAGGCCCAGATTAAAACATACTTGCTTATTTAAAAAGATCAATAGTAGTAGTAGTGGTAGTTGTAGTGGTAGTAGTAGTAGTAGTAGTAGTAAAATTATATTTTATTGGTCCTCATTCCAATAGCAAATCAGTTGGAAATTCGGGCTGGGGACTCCCCACAGCCACAGTGCAACACCACCCAACTTAACAACATAACAGACACATACAGATACAAAAATTGTCCATAACGCATCTAACTCTCAATATGAGTTATTCAAGGAGCCAAGCGATCAAACTCCAATTAAAACTTAACACTGGCCGGGTTTGAACCGGGGTTCTGGATTTGGTGGGTAAAGATCGACATCCAAAGGGCTCCAAAAGTGTTGCGAGTAAAACAAGAGGTGTAGAAATAGTGTTGAATGACAGGATAGGTCCACCACTGCAGTTTAAGACGCGCAGCATAAGTCGTGAGCAGGCTTGCCTTACCAGCCTCAGGCCACATTGGACCTGATGGGTAGGAAATTCGCAATCACACAAACATCGGCTTTGTGAAGAAAACCACATTTGGTAGTGAAATCTCAGAAAGGAGGCAAGAAAATTTGAATGTTAGAGTAATAAAAGATTAAAATACAATAAATTAAGGAACATTTTGAATCCTTTGGAATATTGTGTATTCGGTGATTACGTCTATTAGGCCTATCAGAGCAAGTAATATTCCAGACTCTCGACACATGGTTAAAAGTGTCCTGGCACTATATTTTATTTTAGGCCTAACTTAGACAACATGAAGAAAAGGTCTGCTGTCTCAGCCAACTGCTCAGCTAAAAATAAGTTACTAACTTCCAGTGAAACAGATCAATATGATTATGTTTTTGCTGACTTGCAGACAATTTACTTAAAACTTTACCAGCTAATTTAAAGCCAGACTCCTGGGTGGAAAAATGGGTGGTTATTCCACCCTTTAACCGTTTCTGAATCTTTTTTTAACACCCTATTTGTGTCTTAGAAATATCAATATAACATATCAATTTTTTCCTGCCAGAGAAGAATATACAATAGTATTTTTTTATGCATTTGGAATAGGGGAGAAAAAGTATTTTGTAATTCTATGTTTTGAAATAAAAGGGACAGTTGGCCATCCATGGGTTATAGAGATTTGTTTCTCTTTAACTGTCCCTAACCATTTCTGGTTGAATACATAAATGGAATGATATCTTATAGATTGCCTAAACTAATATAAAAACACACAATTTAGATATTGAATATAATGCTCGGAATATAAATTAACGTTGATTTGAATTTTTCCATTCTGATTGATTTACATCCAAAATGAATCAAAAGTACATATATAAAAGGATTAATTGATGATATTTTATTAATTTTTCAGTGGAATACCGTGCCCTGTGCCCACAAGGCAAGGGGTTCAAATATTTACCAGCAGAGGTTCCCGATGACAGTGATACGACGGGTTAGTAGCATTTACCTCTTCTGCATGACTTATTAGGATTACAAATTGGCACCACAGGCAAGAGGATGTGCCAAGTTGGTTATTAAATTGAAGAATGTATTTAAGGGGCAAGCACGCAATTTTGATCAAGTGCATGTTTAATCGTCAGTTTGGCTTATCACTGATTTATGACTCTCCTCCTTTTTTTGATTAAACTTATTTTTCTGGAAACAACATGAGCTGCTGTAATGGCTTGTCTTAGAATAATTTACACCAACAAATAAATGAATTCCATTAAATATATCAATTTATATATTAGTTGAAGTGGCATTGATTATTCATCATTTTCTTTATCATATATAATTTTAGACACCATTATTGGGGCACCATTCATTCCTTTATAGTGGGGGTATTAATTTTAGTGTGGCCAACTGGTGGCCCCATAAATTTGCTGACAAGTCTATCAGGGGGTCTGAACCAAACTACAGTCAAAGCTCTTCCAACAGAGAGAAAACTTTCCCCTAACCCCAGCCACCTCCACTGGCTGCAGGCCAGTGTAATTCATCCATCATGCTTACGACTTATGGATTATTATTGATGATAATTCATGTTCAAAATAAACTGACGGTCTTCTTAGAAACATATTAACTTATTATCAGATGATGTTGAAAAGCAGTAAACAAAATTGCTGTGCTTGCCTTTATTTTTATTAATAACTCAATATTAAAATAATTTCCGGTCTTACTATGCATAAAAAAAAAATAGATAGGCAGCAATGGTTATTTCAGCTGAAATCTTGGCTTGTGTATAATGACTTGGTGCGCCAAATTTGGTCTGTAGGCTGAAGGACACCAATTGAAGACCCCCTTCCCCCTCCCCCAATGCATATACAGAATGCTTAATGATTGGCTGTAATTGAAATATATGCTGAACATTGTATTTGTATTATGCCATAAAATGCTTCAAGTTTAATTTTTAATTTCCGGCTTTGGATAAATATAAATTACATTTGAAAAAATTGTTTAAATTATTAGTTCACTTTTTTTTTTACAATTTTATTCTTAATATTGTAGTTGCTGATTCAAGTAGCCTGACGATGTGTGAAAGGTTTAGCAACCTGTGTACAAATGGTCAATGCGTCGACACAGACCAGAGGACCTACAGATGTACATGCAATGCAGGGTATACTACATCCAGTGATGGTCGTGCATGTGAGGGTAAGTGTCAATAACATGTGATTGAGGGCTCAATTAGAAAAAATATTGACACAAAGAAGCCGTTAGTGCACTGTTTCTCTAATTAGTGCCCAAAAGAGGCTTCTAACTAACTAACTAACAAAATCCAGCATACTCTCGCTGATTGTTAACTGATAAATTAGCATAAGAATGTGGAAGAATTGTATACTTTAGTACAGAGAGGCCATAATACTTTTAATCATAACTTTGGTAATAGTAAGTCAATTCCAGTAAATGACCCATCATTTTAAAGTTCCTTTTTACTTTTATCCCCTTTCTTCTTTTTTAGCTTCATAATCCCTACATCCTTGTTATGATACTATAGATAATAAATTTTAAGTACAGTAAAATGTCGATTTTACGAATGTGAATTTTACAAAAAGTCGATTTTACGAATTGTCTTTGCCCCTGATGAGGTCATCACCGTCAATTAATTACTGTAAAGTCAGATTGCTCACGTTTTACAAAGTGATAATGTATATTTTTCTTTATAAAATCAAGTTTGTTGTATTTAGATATTAAAAGTTCAAACTTTTCTTCCATTTCTGGTATAATAATCAGTATATTATTGTAACTTACCTAACCAGGGGCCAGATTTATCAAACTAGAAATCAACTTAAGTTCATTTTTTTTGTCAAATTTATCAATAAATATTGCCTTAACTTAAAAATTGCTTAAAATTAAAAAGATGATTGTACGCATGAACCATCTAAGATGATTTTAAGCTAAGATTTTGCTAAGATGGTTTGATAAATCAGCTTTAGATATTTGCTTAGGGACTTCTAAACTTTTTTGACTTAAGACATTTGCTAAGCTGAGATTGATAAATCCTGGGCCAGAACAACAAACTACCAATGCAAGTGTCGTCGGATTGAGCACACATGTTTACGATGCAACAAACGAGAGTGTTGGGGTCACCAACTTATTAACATTGTGAATGCTAGATATGATCGTGAAATGCATGTAAACAATACATTTTGGCAATCTAACAACTAGAAAAAAGAACACGATAAAAAAGGTGCATAAAACATACAGATGTTTGAATAAAAGTTAAATAACATTTTGTTAAGTGGAAGAATGCCAGCGATTAAAATAATTTGGTTTTTATCGAAGGTAAATTCATCTAGGCTCTAGCCCGATAGAACACGCCGCTGCACTGTTGGTTCGTGCTAGGCCTGGCCGCCGTCAGACTATCGGCTCTCAACGGCAGGTGATAGCTAGGTATTGGATACTGACACCAGATATAGTTTACGAATTTTTCAATTTACGAACACCCTGTGGTACAAAGGGGTACGTAAAATGGACGTTTTACTGTAGATTGATTGTAAAGCCGTGCCCAGATTATCAAATTTCTTTGACAAAAAAGCTGTTGTATGCCCATATATAGTCGTGATGTGCCTATTATTTGATATCTGCAGCTGAAACTATTGACCAATGCGACACGAACCGTAACCTATGCACCAATGGCCGATGCATTAACCTAAGTCGTGGATACCGATGCATATGTAACAATGGATACACACCTTCAAGTAATGGCGAGGCATGTATCAGTAAGTCACACTTATTAGTTGGGGATTGTACAGGTGTCAAAAATAACCGGTTGCAGCTTGGTGAAAATAGCCTTACACAAGGGCTGTACCCCTAAAGCCAGGCACTCGTGGTGTCTTAAGACCATCGGCTAACAAATCCGACTGCACTCCCTGCGAACATTAGACAATATGACACCATTTGCTGACCATCATTAAAATGTTTATTTTACACGTAGGTTGTAGCGTTGTACTCTACACAGAAAGCACTTTGAGTGCCATGTTTTCTCCCAGGAACATTACGACAACTTCAAACAAAACCTCATGGAAAAATTCCTATTGATTTATGTAATCCCATATTTTTATATATTGGGATTTAAAAAAATTTTTTTTTTGCAGCTGAACCAATTGATGAATGCACAGCAAACCCTAATCTTTGCACAAATGGACGATGCAGTAACCTAAGTACGGGCTACCAATGCGTGTGTAATGATGGATACAAACTCACGAGTAATGGCGCTGCCTGTATTGGTAAGGCATGCATTGTTGAAAAAAATCTATTTAAGTGAGTTGTACATGATTATCTAATATGATATTGATTGTTTAAGTCCATGTAAAACTGGAAGAAGATTCATCAAGGTTAAATTTGCTTGCCTACCCATTCATCTTTGTTATATTTTTGTTATTAGTATTCCTATATTATTAGTGTAAAAAAAAATAAAGGTATAAACAATAAATAATAAGTAAATAAATAATTAAAATAAAGTAAAAAATTGCAGAAAAAAAGGCTATGCTTTGAAGGTAGAAAACGGCGCCGCGAGCGGCTCTGCTAGAGATGGATATGTGCTCCAAATAAGATGACATTACAGTAACATCTCCCTCAGTCCGAACAGGGTTCGTAAATAAGAAAATTCGTAATTTGGATGGGAGTGGTTCTCAAACAATTGTTATAGTAATTAAGTTTACTTTAGAGACCAGGCCCTCCCATCAAGATTATTCTATTGTGCAATAAAAGAATAAGAATAAGAATTCAGAGAGTTTTTAGCATCTTAGTGTGGTGAGGGTAGGAAGGCCTATGCTCCAAGGTACAGGGCTAGGTAGGCCTATGCCTTGCCATGGGTGAAAATTGCGCGTGTGATTAGGTGGATCGCAGTCACATGACTTACACCGGCCATGTTGTCACCAAAACGAAACATTAAAACTATACGCGCGCATGCGCCTGGGCTGTTTGATAACGACATGGCGTCCATGCACCAAGTTGGCCAAACTCTCTCTATCTACGGCTCTGGCGAATCCATGTGAATAGCACCCTCAATGATCAAAAAGTGAAAATTACTGAATAGTATGCCTGAACAAGCATGCATAGCTCAAATACACTATAATACTGTATATCGCGGCTGAAAACGATTGATATTCCTTGCTTTAAACTTAGTTTTACAGTATATCACTTTATTTGTTTGAATGTTTTCTCAGCTGATGAAACAATTTAAATAATTTGGATTGGATTGGATTGGATTGGATTTATTTGGTGTAAACGCCAAGGATAGCCCACGAAAGTCTAGAAGAGGACTTATTTCCAGTGGGGTCCTTCTGGTGGTGATTGGGCAGTACACCGGGAGACAATCCCCTACTCTTTTCCGAAGAGTGTACTGCGTTCTTTAACGTGCACATGGGCCATAATGCACACGGGACCAACGGCTTAAACGTCTCATCCGAAAGACGGTGCGCTAGTAGCTTGTATTTCAGCCCTCTAGCTGAAACAGAAGGAGAGGCAGCAATGGGAATTGAACCAGGTACCTAGAGATCTCCATTGTTCAGCGCACACACAGCGGCTCGCACCAAATTAGCCGACTGAGCTAAGCTGCTCTCTCAAAGCTAAGCTGCTCTCTCTTTGGAAGACTTTTAAATACATTTTAAAGTGTTTTTGTAGTTAAAAACAATCGTTAGTAATGACGTCATTGCCACAAATTCGGTTCATAAAATCGAGTGTTCGTAAATGGTAGGTTCGTAATTGGGAGATGTTACTGTGTAATTAGTAAATTAAACAGTCTACCAACAATTCCCAAGACAGATTCAATATTTTTTTTTTTAATTTGGATCTCTTCGAGGCCCTATATTCCCTGACAGGGTAAACATGTGCCAATAATTGTCTTGACAATGAAAAACAAATCTTAATGTATAACTAATTGTTTGATACTTGTTGTTTGATACTTGAAGCAATCGATCACTGCTCAACAAACAATAGTCTATGTGCTAATGGGCGATGCGTGAGTTTAAGTACCAGCTACCGATGTATATGTAATGATGGATACCGGCCCACAAGTAATTTCGCTGCCTGTATTGGTAAGGGATGCATGTATTGTTTCAACCATCCTTTATTGATATTAAATAAAATATACAAAAGAAGATATTTAGAAACACCAGGACGCAGCCTGAATTAACAGACTTACCTAGGCAAAACGTCATTTCAAATATCAAAGACAAGATAACAAACACAAAACAGAAATATTACAGTAAAACATTAAAAGTCAATTAACAAAAATAATTATTAAAAATTTAGATTTTACAATTTTGTTTACAAATAATTTATTAATAATTTAGACTTTACAATTTAACCATTATTATTTTCAGTTCCTAGCACGACCTTACTTATCAATGGCATTTGTCTGTTGTACAGAATATGCCCTAGTTGCAATAATGGGTAATCACTGTCCATTTTTTTCTTCACGATAAAAAACACCTAGATATATTAAAATATAATTTAAAATTAATTGTTTGTTACTTGCAGCTGAAGCAATCAATCACTGTAGACCACACCCTAAAGAGTGTGCAGGGGGGGCGTGCATCAACTTAAGTACGGGCTACCAATGCATATGTAGAGACGGATACCGGCTCATAAGGAATGGCACTCTTTGTATGCGTAAGGCATGCCTGTATTGTTTTATCATGTATAAGTCAGTTGTATAGAATAATGCCCTAGTTGTAATAATGATCTCTGATACCATATTTGTTGTTTAAATCCATGTCAAACTTGAAAGATTGTAGTAAGGCTAAATAAAACACCCTGCTCACTATTCCTAATACATCTTCAATATTTGGTTTTTTTTTCTTATTTGCCCTGAAAGGGTGAACATCGTACGTATTTTGTCTTTACCATGAAGAAAAACCCAGATATATTAAAATATTATAATTTATACTTAATTATATTTGCAGCTGACGATAGCATCAATCACTGTAATATAAACCCTAATCGGTGTACTAATGGGCGATGCATCAGCGTAGCTACAAGTGCGGGCTACCGATGCATATGTAACAACGGGTACCAGCCCACAAGTAATCCTGATGTCTGTATTGGTAAGCCATGCATGCATTGTTTTATTCGAGTCTTATTTTTTTTTTTAGTGTTTTGTTGTACTGTACGTGTTGTGTTTTGACAATACAATTGTGGCGCATGTTATATCTTGTTACATGCTGTCTTGAGTTTTTTCGCGCAACTAGGAGATTTGGTGTGTGCTTTATAACTGCAAGGAAAAGGAAATTTAAATGCCAGTACCAGTATATCATGTATAAGTCAGTTGTACAGAATATGCCGTAGTTGTTATGAAAATCATCATATTGGTGAAATCTATTTTAAACTGGAAGGATATTCAGCAAGGCTAAGTAAAACATCCTGCTTATACCCTTAAACAGCCTAAGCAGGTTATCTTGTATTTGACTGTTTAGTTATTTTGAAGCCCTATTTTCTCTAAAAGGGTTAAGGCAGGGGTGGGCATTAAAATTGGTCGGAGGGCCAAAGTAAATTTTTGGTTCAACTCGAAGGGCCACACCCAAACTCTGATGTTTCAGTGAACTTCCAAAAACCTTCATTCATGCTCAATTTTACTATTACTTTTTACAAATGATCGGTGGCGGGCCGCAATAACTGTTTTATGGCGACTTTATGCTCAGTTTTACTGTTACTTTTTACAAATGATCGGTGCCAGGCCGTAAAAAACAAGGTGTTTTCTAGACAAAGATATTGGCGGGCTGCACACATAGGGTTTTTAATTTATTTTCGCAGGCCGGGAAAAAATCACTGGCATGCGGCCCGTGGGCTGCACTTTGCCCACCTGTGAGTTAAGGCCTATGATAATCATTTTCTCTGTGCAATGTAAAAAAACTGATGTTATTTCTGTACAATGTAGATTTAAAACTATTATTAATAAGCTTGATTGTTTGACACTTACAGCTAAACCAATCGATAAATGTTCAACAAACAGAAATCTCTGTGCTAATGGTCGCTGTGTCAGCTTGGGTACTGGTTATAGGTGTATATGTAACCCTGGATACCTACCCACACGTAATAATGCTGCCTGTATTGGTAAGGCATGCATGCATCGTTATCATGTTTGTCTTGATTTTCATCATGCTCATCTTACAATGATATGCATGTGCGTTGAATCCATGCAACTAGTAGGCGTTTTAGCAAGGATAAATATAATTACCTGCTCACTAAGCTTTTATGACCTTTAGTGACTCATTTTGAAAAATTTTTTTCTGAGGCCGAAATTTGGCCAAGAAGGGTGATGCCCATTCTTAGTTCTTTATAGACAAATTGAATGTTTATTCATATTTAAACTTTACATTTACATATTTGCAGCTGAACCAATGAATAAATGTGCAACAGACAGTAATATTTGTGCCAATGGCCGATGCGTTAACTTAAGTCGGGGCTACCAATGCATATGTAACAGTGGATACACGCCCACAAGTGACGGTTCTGCGTGTATCTGTAAGTTTTGTTTGTTGAATTAAACTGAGAACTTGTAGCTTGCGGTTATGATTCTTGTTTTTGCTGTGTTGAGCATCTGTGTAAATGTTTCCATGGTGAACCTTTGTGTTCATGTTTCCCTCTACTTAGAACAGGCTGTGTTCATGTTTCTTCCTATGTTGAACATGTTTTATTCATATTTCCTTCTATATTATACATGCTGGACTGGCTTTATATTTTCCCTTATGTTCAACAAGTCATGTTTCCTTCTACTTTGAACCTGCTATGTCCATCTGTGTTCATGTTTCTTCCTATGTTGAACATGTTGTGTTCATGTTTCTTCCTACTGTATGCTAAACATGCTGTGTTCATGTTTTATTCTTTGTGAAGCATGGTGGTAAATGTTTCCTTCTGAAGCAAAACACAGGTTTCTGTTATCTCTATGTTCCATCTCTCTGTTAAACATGTTATGTCCATGTTTTCTTCAGCATTGAACATGTTGTATCCATGTTTTCCTTTTGTTGAACATGTTTTCATGTTTCCTCACTATTATGTTTCTCTCTGATGAACAAATTATATCCCTGTTCTCTTTCTGTTGTAACTGCTTTGACCATGTTTTCCTCTCTATCGAACATTATTTAACGTGCATGTTCATGTTAATTTTTATGTTGAACATACTGTGTTCATGTTGCCCACTACATTGGATATGCTGTGTCCATGTTTAATTGTATATCTCTTTCTGTTGTTCCTCTTTTGAACCTACTAAGTTTGTGTTTTCCACTTTATTGAGCATCATTGAATGTGCATGTTCATGTTTCTCTCTATGTTGAACATGCTGTGTCCATGTTTCCCACTACGTTGGACATTCTGTGTCCATGTTTAATTGTGTATCAACCCTGAGTGTTAAATATATACAGAATATAAAATGATCAACTCACATTCAGCCTCGCAAAGCATTAGAATACATAATTGTTAATTTCCGTCTAATAATTGTTATATTACGTGTTATTTTGAAGTTGGAAGGTTTTTTTTTTGTTTTCTTCAATTTTTTAATTAAATGATTTTATTTTCTTGCAGCTGAAGCAGCTAACAAGTGTACAGCTAATGCTTGTGCAAATGGCCGATGTGTAAATCAAGATACAGGGTATCAATGCATATGTAATAGGGGATTCCATGCAGGTCCAAATGCTGCTTCCTGTGTTGGTATGTTTAATGTTGTAATAAAATAACGTTTACACTAGAGTAGCGCATAGTGCACACAAAACTTCTATGCCCCTAACGTTAGAAAATAAATAAATAAATATAGTAAATAAAACCCTTTTACTCAACATTAAAAAGTATTTTTTCTCCATGATGCTCTACTGTATGTTAAACCTATTTCCATGTTTTGATGTATCCATGTTACCATTAAAGTATAACACGTATCCAATGTGCCCTCGTAATCAACTCATCATGTTTCCATATTGTCTTTAATATTGAACACATGTATCCATGTTTGCTATACATATTATGTTGTATGTGGTATTTTCATGTTTGATTTGTTGTTATAATTACAATTTATTATTAGAGTTATTATTATTATTATTATTATTATTGTTATATTGTTATTATTATTATTGTTATATTGTTATTATTATTATTGTTACTAGAGTAGCGCATAGTGCATGAAAAACTTCTATGCCCCTAATGTTAGAAAATAAATAAATAAATATAGTAAATAAAACCCTTTTACTCAACATTAACAAGTATTTTTTCTCCATGATGCTCTACTGTATGTTAAACCTATTTCCATGTTTTGATGTATCCATGTTACCATTAAAAGTATAACATGTATCCAATGTGCCCTCATAATCAACTTATCATGTTTCCATATTGTCTTTAATATTGAACACATGTATCCATGTTTGCTATACATATTATGTTGTATGTGGTATTTTCATGTTTGATTTGTTGTTATAATTACAATTTATTATTAGAGTTATTATTATTATTATTATTATTGTTATTATTATTATTATTGTCATTATTAATTATTATTATTATTATATTATTATGATTATTAGTCTTGGCCTTCTGTGTCCTTGTTTCCATCTATTTTAAACTAATGTTGCTATGTTTTCTTTATTGAAAGATGTAAATGAATGTGGTATGAATAATGGGCGAGCTGTTTGCATACATGGTACTTGTACCAACATACCAGGAAGCTATCGATGCGATTGTGGGAAAGGCATGGTGCATCGTGGGAACCATTGTATAGGTTAGTGACTTGGGTCTCCATGTGAACGTTCAGTGTTATTAGGAAGATTACATTAAAGCATGATAAGCAAGGAAAAAAATGACCGTTATGAGAATCGAAACCAGTGACTTTGAAATACCAGACTGGCACTCTGCCAACTGTTCATAAAAAAAAATCACACACTACATAATTGCCTTCTCATGCTATTCAAGAAATGCTTCCATTAAAAAATGGTAACAAAATTAATGATCAGTGCAGACAATGGAAGATGTAAAACCAGGTCAGAATGTACCTCCCAACACTTCCATAAATTACTAAGGTAAACATATGACTCAAGTATCGTTTCCAGATCCTCTTCTAACATCTGGAATAACATTCCATGTAGTATTTTGATAGGCTAGCGAATTTTAATAAGGCCAAATAAAAAAATATATATAGTTTCTCTTTCAGGTTTTTTTTTAAAGTGATTTTTTTTTTCTTAAGAATTTCTAGGAATTGATTAATTTATTTATTTTGTTAGGTGTAAAAGCCTCGCATCAAAAACAGAATGAAAATCCTGTGAGTTTACATACAGTAATAACAAGCATGAAAACACAACATTATTTACAATTATCACTAAAAGTACAAATTGCCAAAACATTACTTAATAAACATTAAAAAATATTATTTACAATATTCTAAAATTTTAATAATTATTTACAATTCAGATTATCATTAATTATTATTTTAAATTCAGAAATCAAGTTAATATTTAGGTGTCAAATCAAGTATGAGTTAGTGTCTCAGTCGGTGGCAGTCCTCTAGTAATCCAGGTGTAATGCCATCACTAGATCACATCTAAGCACAACACATTAGTTGACGTTACTAAAATTGATACCTCATTTTGTTTACGTTTTCAAAATGATTGCCAGAATTAAATGTAGACTTAAAATTAAATTGTCACATAAATTTGCAGGACTGCTAACTACAAATAATGTTGTGCTTGTAAGAAAGCTAAACATGAATGAAATTACAACATGATGGGAATTTTCTAGCTTGTCGTAAATGTAGTATATTTTCCTGATCTTTTCAATTGTTGATAGAAATATGACTATTATGACAAAATGATTGACATTTTTAATGGTGGCTCACATAAAATTGTGACTGTATATGAATTATTACTTTTTCTGAGGTGCTGCGTGTAAGAAAAGAAAAACATGGCTGAAATCATTTTTGGCGTCATAAAATTGTTACCGTGCCTGAACTATCCTTTTTTTTCTGAGTTGTTGATTTGTGTAAACAAGAAAAACACGTAATGTAATGTAGCATATAAACAGAGTCTTGTGCATCCATGGCTGAAATGATTGACATAATTTATGTTGGCTCCCATAAAAATATTACTGTACATAAATTGGCCTTTATTCCAGATGTTGATGATTGAAAGCAAAGAAAAACATAACTGAAATGATCAAAAAATGATTGATGTAACTATTGGGAGCTTGCATGAAATTGTAAACTGTATCAAATTGTCCTTTTTTCCCAGATGTTGATGAGTGAAGACAAAGTCGAAAACATGACTGAAATGATGAAAATATGATGAATATAGTAATTTGCTGGCTTGTATAAAATTTGTGACTGTACTTAAAATGTCCCTTTTTTCCCAGATGTTGATGAGTGAAAGTAAAGGAAAACATGACTAAAATAGAAATGTGATTGATATAATAATTGCTGGCTCACTTAAAATTGTTCCTGTAACTAAATTGTCTGTTTCACTCATGTCTTGTCTATTGTAAGTAAAGAAAAACAGGATTGATATAGTTAATTACTGACTTGCATAAAATTAATACATTGAATTTTTTATTTTTCAGATGTTGATGAGTGTAAAAAGGGAGATGTCTGTAAAGGGTTCCCATGCATTAACACTCTACGTAGCTATGTTTGTATGAAACCTAATTGTGAGACTGGCTATACCATTAAAGATGGCAAATGTGTTGGTAGGACTTATATTTGATGTTATTTTTACAGTAGCATATCTAAGAGTTTAAAATGGGGTGGGGGGAAAGACTTGAGGGATGCGAAGGTGAAGTGTGGCCTCAATGATTAAGGAGGGGGAACTAGCTAGCAAAATACAATGATATCAGGTGATTTTGTGAGATTTTTATGGATGGGGTGGGGGAGGCATGCACAGCACCACTAGGTTTTCATTGGAGTACCTTTTGTTTTTTATCTGTTGCTTCCAATTGCATATCTCCTGTTTTCTTTAAAAATACCCTAGTTATTTGGGTTTAATTATTATAGGAAGTTTTTTTTATTGTTTCATTGTGCAAATGCACAGTTTATTTCAACTACAGTGTAAAGGAAAATTTCAATAATATAGAATAATAATATAAAAAAAAACCATAATACAGGTCAAAACAAGAGAAAAAAAAACATTCCTTGTCATTTTCGACCTTTAAAAAATATCAAATGAAATATAAATGTATACCAAAAATACAAACAAATAAATAAAATAAAATAAATAATTTTATGAGTCCTAATAATTTCTTTAGTTTGGCTGTCCATGACCTTTCTTCTTACCAGATTACTTCTGTTTGTACACTTAATTTCTACTCATTTCCTCATTTCCTTTAATTTTAATTCATTTTACTATGTTTTTTTAATCGCATACACAAACTATCAGGAATTCTAAAAAAATTATTTATGCAAATCATTGCATTTTCTCTCCTTCTTCAACATAAACATGAAAGACTTTTGTTATTGCTTATTTCCATTACTTGTGTTTACATTATCAAGTGTGCATAATTTTTATTTATTTTATTATTTTAATGTGGTTCTTCTTTAAAATATTGGAAAAATAAGTTCCTCATTAACTAGTGCTTATTAACATACAATAAAAGCCTTGAATACCTTTACAGTAGTTATTTTTGTACATATTTTTAACAAGTGTGTTTGTTTTAGCCACATTCCTCCACATTTAAATTCTTATATTTATTGATGTTGGCTTTGTAGACGAGGATGAATGCCAAGGAACAGGTAACCTTTGCCCTAACGGACGATGTGTCAATGACGATGGATCGTACCATTGTGAATGTAATGATGGATTTGTGGCCATCAACCAACGACAATGTCAAGGCAAGTTAATTATGCAAAAATACATTTTAAAATCAACATAACATAAGTATGTTTATTTAATATTATTTATATATGTTACACTTTTGTAATCATTATAGTTGGTGGTTAAGATGCTTGCCTTCCAATCCCAGGGTCCTGGGTTCAAATCCTGCAATGTTGATGGAGTGGAGCTGTAGCTTGGATGTTAAGATGCCTGCCTTCCATTCCCAGAGTCATAAGTTCAAGTCCTCTCAGAACTGCTAATGAGTACTCCACTGTAGTGGAGCAGGGGACCAGCAAGTCCAACAAAGATCTAAACCAGTAGGGTCCTGGACTAAAACTTATGCTGAGGGTCAAGAAGTGGGAGGAGATTTTATGGAATAGGATGATAAAAATTGTGCTTTCATATAATAATAACTATTATTTAAGTTTGAATGGCAATTAAAAATTTTTCTTTCAACAACAGGGGGAAACTTTTCCTCTGATCTCCTCCCTTTTCCCCCCCTCTTGGCACCACCACCATCATTGTTCCATTACCTATGACCCATAATAAAAGTTAGTTTATAGAGCATTATTCATTTTCTTGAAAGGAAGGTTCTTTCAAATCTCATGGAAAGAATTGTGCTAGTGCTTTTTAGTATTAATTTAATTGTAACTTTTTTTGTAACCTTGTTGGTTGTGAATTCACTGTCAATTGACAAGTGCCACTGTAACGAAAGTGTAAGTTCAATAAATTATTATTATTAATAATTGCAGGTCTCCCAATTTGTAACAAGCCACTTTCAATAACACATCTTATTGTGTTTTCTGTATTTTGTGATACACGTATAACCAGTAGAAATCTGGTAGGCAATATAGTAATAAAGTAGTAAAAACATAGATACATTCTGAATTTTCAAGTTAGTTTAATAGCTTGTGGTAGTGGGATACAGTGCTTTCTTTTCGAGGAGATTCCTGCAACTACCTGTATATTGTATATATAGTTTTTAGAGTTTCTTAAAAGAATTAGGAAAGCAAAGCAAAAGCAGACATAAATTAGAATTTATAGAACACAAAAAAGAATTATAGAACATTTGGCATCTTTTCCAAATTTTGAGTTATTAGTTATTATTATAGGTATGATAACTATATTATAGTTACAATAATTATTTATTATAAAATGAGTTATTATACAGTAGTTATTGTTAGTATGTTACATTATAGTTATTGTTGTATTGTTGTAATAGTTGATTAATTATTATTGTAGATATAGTTATAGTATTCTTATTATTGGTATTATAGTAGCACAGGTATTATTATTCAAGGAGATACCAGTATATGTTTTCAATCGTGTAAGTTTGTGTGTGTCACGTCTTCGTGTGGGGGTGTGCGTGCGTGTGTGTGTGTGTTCAAAATATCTAAAAAATGACAGAACGCATCTAAATGAAAGTTACAGGGAGTGCTAGGTGACCTAAGGATAAGATGATTAAAGTTTGGTGTCAATCCGTAGTAGGGTGTGGATATGAGGACCATTCAAAGGAAAATGTCCCAGACCAGATATTGTAAAAACTAATCTACTTATGTGAATAAAATTGGCCGGGTTATTGTAATTTTTTTTTTTTTAAAGTAGGTGGTGGTTGGAAAGTAGGTGGGTTGTCACATTTGTTTACAGTGTCAGTAGTTGAAAATAAAATGTTTCAATCCTATACAGTATGTTGCTTGGATTCTGTGTTCAGAATATAACGTGTAGTTCACTCAAGATAACGCAATTATTTGCACGTATTTTGCACAGTAGTTGAGCAATGCAACTTATTATTTACAAGCCTCTGGCGTCCTTGTAAGTAACGCCATTTGCGTTGTTTGTTAAACATAGTATTGAAATGAAATAAAATATATAATATATAAATATAAAAGTATTCCTACAGTCACAAATTTTAGGCAAATTAAAGGCAAATTATTTCAGATTACAAAGTCTGAAAATGCCTACTCTCAAAAAGAGTCCTCAAAAACCCAGGCTAAAAATGGAAATAGTGCCACTCTTTGAAATATAATGTGTTTGGGTGAGTTTATGTGTGTTTTTGAACAGGAGCGGAGAGAAGTGAGTTGGGGTGGTAGTTGTGGTGGTTAAAGTAAATTAGGAACATATTGTGAGAGATTTAATTTATAGAAAGGGATTTTCGGTGGGCAGAGATATACTCTTTACCAAGTGCTCTTGTTATTTATATTATTAGTTAACTGTTGTTTTTGCCAAAATATTACCATTGCAATTTGTCAACATGGCTTTTATTCGGAATATTTCCAGTTATAAGGACACAATGCTCTAGTTAATTTATCTCTTATCCAAATTGTACTATAACCAAAAAAACCCTAATTTAAAAACATCTTTTAATGTTAATCCATTTCAATCAGCTAGCTTTAAGCTTTCCAATCAAATTTTGTGCAAGAACTTTGGGAATTTTAGAATGTAGACAAAAAAAAATAAACAGAGGGTTGCTGTGTCCCATGTTTATGAAGCGACATAGATGTTGATGAACTGTTTCAGGAAACATGAATGCAATGGGGAGAGTTGTGGAACAGCCCTTGGGCCTACACATGTACCATGCTTTAATTGTCTTAAAGAGTTTAAGGGGGTGTCATAAGCATATCTGGTTATTGTAAGGTGGCTAACAGCTGGATGACTTAAGAATGAAGCATGTGCATGCATCAGCAATAAACTCCTCTGTTCACTATTTTTTTTTACCCGACTTTTTTTGGATATTTTTCTAGCAAGCTAATGTATGTCTGTCAAAGCAGTCATGCATGATTACAATTTAAATGTCTGGATATTACAATGTCAAAGTTTTAAATTTCTATTTTTTTTTTTCTTTTCTAATTGACTATAGCCTATTTCTTTTAAATTATTTTTGTTTACAAAATAAAACAAAAGTTATTATGATGCTGATGTAGCTATTGATAAAACACAGGCCCTCATGGTTTTATGGGAATTTAATATATAGATAAAATAGAGATTGTATTTCTTGCTAAGAAATGATGAGAAGAAATATTCTGTTTCTTACAGATGTTAATGAGTGCGCAACTGACAGTGACCTGTGCGGTAAGGAAGCCAATTGTGTCAACAGTCAAGGGTCATACAGATGCATCTGTTCCAACAATCAGCAATTTGATGTTCAGTCAAAGAAATGTCATTGTAAGTTTAAATTCAATTGTTTATTCAATTAAATTTATTTCTTGAAATGGTGATTGGTTGCCAGTATCCTAAAAATTCAGTAATTTTGTTAAATATTCAACATGATTTAATTCAATTTCTTTTATTTCTGCAACTATCAAGAGATTTATATAGATGCTATAATTACAACAGTAAAATAGATTACAACAATGTTTTTTCTACATTTTTAACATGCGTTATACTAACAGTTATAAGAATATTTACATTTTTAATATATTATGATTCATAAGACTCAAAATGAATTATATCAGCTTGTGGGAAAGTTTTAGGCTGTGGTGATTTTTGAAGAAAACCTCAAAAATTAAATTTGTATAAATTGCCCAATTAAAAGGATCAAATTTATGCATATTTTATTAGGACAAAAACAAGGACAATTTTTTCGTCTGATTTTTATTATTATTATTATTATTATTATTTTTATTATTATTATTATTGTAATTGTTATTGTTATTGTTATTATTATTATTGCTGCTGCTGCTGCTGCTAATATTAATAATAATAATATTTCAAATGAATGCCACATACCTTATTTGTCATGTTTTGAGCTCAATTCAGCATTAAATTTATTGATATATTTACATTAATAACATGCTTGGAACAACCATTATCATTATATACAGCTTTAGACTCTGAGGAACGCAAGATGTGTTTTGCCGACATAACAGACGCAGAGTTATGCGATCAGGTGATTAGCAGCAACGCAACACGTCAAGAATGCTGTTGTACTATTGGAACTGGTTGGGGCGACGACTGCGAATTCTGGCTTTGTCCTTTGTCAAACACCGGTAAGCCCTATGATGTACAGTACTGTATTGTCGATGTTGTTTTTTGATTTATGGCGTTCTGTTTAGAATGCATTGCACAAATTTTAGAAATGCATTTGAAGGAGACTGTCAACTGTTTAATATTTGTTATTAGTTTGGGTTACACCATTTATTTTGTATTCCTCCTATTTTTATCATTCCTCCTTCATTTTTGCATGATACTAAACTTTCAGTATATCTGTTTAATAAGAAGATGAGAAATGAAAATTACATTATTCATCAGTTTTCTAAGCATCCCCCATTTGTGTACAAGAATAGTTCAGACTTTCTAATAAATAAAATTTATTCTTTTTATTAATTATTCACAACATTTATTTTAATTGTTACCTCTTACATTAGACAACAAATTTGATATTGATGTGAATTCAATTTATTCATAGCTGAGTTCCAAAAGATATGCCCGAATGGACGTGGTAGGAAGACTGTGGTTAGCCAAGAAAGAAAGGATCCCAATGACATCTCTATATTTCTCGACAGCAAGACAGCTGCACGAGGTAATCCTCAGTACATATCAGAAGAAGGTAATGGATTCAACTGATTTGTTCTGAAATATTAGATTTTAATTTACGTTTGATTTGTTTGTCTCAGTATATTAATATTCACAAAAATGATGGCAATGTAGAAATATTGGATTCAAACATGCCAAAGAGACACCCAAAAAGTATAACTAAATCTATGCCATAATTAAATCTTTGCAAACTTAGAGTTATAGAATTCAAGTTATAGGTAAACAATTTAATACAGTAGAAAAGATTCTGAAGTTGAATATAGGATATCAAAGTATAGATATCAATAAATATAATGTAAATGAAATAAATCTTATCAACAATATTTTTATATATCTGAATAAGGAATAAATAAATATGTAAATAAATAAATGGTTAAATGAATGAGATAATAATTGAACAAGTAAATATCTTTATATAGTATATCCCATTATGGAATGTTTTGATATACTAAATTTAAAGTCAGAATAATAGTCATATTATTAGTAATGTTTTGTTTAGCAACATACAGCGGCTTCTAAACCTATGTTCATTGTAGTATGTTTTTTTATCAAGGAGCTAAAGTTTTTATGTACAGTACAGTATTTAGGATCTTATGGGTTACTTTCGTGTTGTAAAATGACTGTCCATGGAAATAAAAAATAAGTATTAATTTAGAAACAAAAGAAAAACTGACTAACTATAGATCAATAAAGATATTTTGTTTAGATGTAATCATTCCATTGAAGTCATACCTTATAAACTTTTTCTTGTAACAGGTGTTGATGAGTGCAAGACTTTCCCATCAATCTGTGGTACGGGTATCTGCATAGACACGCCCCTTAGCTACCGCTGTACCTGTCCTGCCTCCTACTACTTCGACTTAAAACGAAGAGTGTGCTTACGTACGTCTATTGTTTCATTGTATTTTGCTAGAATCACCCTTTTGATGCGTATATCCTCTTTTTAAAATATAATTTAGTCAATACTCAAGATCTTGTAATAACAAGATAGCGCTCTCCACGGTTTGTGTGTAACAAATTAGGAGCATCCATTCATGCAGAAAGCAATAGAAAGTTACCATAGCTGTTCAAGAATTGCGTGTAGATCATAGATGTCAAAGTTCAAATTAATTGTAATTGCAAGAGGGCGCCCTACAGAATTTGTACGCAGAAATCATGGAGAACCCTATTTTGTTATTAAGATCTTTGGTCAATAGTCTGGGTGTGGGGTTAAATTTCTTGATCCCCAAAAACTGTCTTTTTTTCAAAACCACCAGGGAACTAGCTTAGACAAGCCTGTGTGTAGCAAATATTCCTACTCAAGTAAATTAATTAATTTGTATTGAATTTAGAAATATTGATGAATTATATTTTGATTATCTACCTGATGAATTTTTAATAATTTTGTTTACAGAGGAAAATGAGTGCATTAAGTACCGAGGTATCTGCGGTAACGGAACTTGTATTAACACTGACACAAGTTTCGAATGTAAATGCCCACCAAATTACACCTTTGATATTGATGATAGAATGTGCAAAGCTGAGGACCTGTGTGCGACTACCGATCAAAAATGTGGAGATGCGGAATGCGTTGTTAACAACGGCGTCGTTACATGCGAGTGCCCGTCTGGCTACAGACATAACAACGTACTAGCTTCTTGCCAAGGTAAAATACAAAGCTGTCCTTTATTTTTAATTGTACTGTTTTCAAAAAGGTAGTCGTAAGTAACTATTACATTCATAGGAGCATCAGCCCTCGCACTGTTATGGTTATCATATTTCATTAGTGCATTTTTTTAAACACATTAATATTTGCTTAGCAATGGTACGCGTAACTGTCGGTTGTGAAATATATAGGGAATAATATTGAATTAAAAACAAAATTTTCCCAAATTTATTATAAAGCGTATTATTTTGGACAATAAAATCTAAAATGACCAATTATATAGTATCCATAAGCACAATTTTTTATATAATGTTATGATAATAATCATTGTTGAGGCTTATATCTTTTATGTAGATGTGAATGAGTGTGTGGAGCTACCTACGACCTGTGGTAATGGTACTTGTATAAACGCACCTGGAGGCTACCAGTGCATTTGCCCGCAATTTCATAAATACAACGCGCAGATTGCCGGATGCGAAGGTAGTCATTTTCTCTTCTGATGCTTGCCTAGACTTCCTGGGATAATTGAAGCAGTGTCGATGAATTGCTTTTGCCGAGGAAATACTTAAAATCGAAACTTCAGCCTATCCTTTATGTGTGTGTGTGTGTGTGTGCCCCTTGCTTCTATGCAAAATAATCTATGAATGCCATCATTAAATATTCATTACCTTGTATATAATATTATATTATATATTATATTACCTAGTATATATTATATTATATTACCATGTATATATTATATTATTATTATTATTATTATATATAGCAAAAGCATGTCAATATTGCACCCAAAAAAATATATAAAAATAATTATATATTATATTACCTAGTATATATTATATTATATTACGTTGTATATATTATATTATTATTATTATTATTATTATTATTATTATTATATATAGCAAAAGCATGTCAATATTGCACCAAAAAATAAAAAATAAAACCCAAACTTAAATTCTATTAACTTTGCAGAGAACACTCATTGTTTTATGCACCATTTTTTTTTTTTGTATTTTGCAGTTACGGATTTCTGTGCAGCGAACCGTGAAGCTTGTGGGTCTGCCATATGTAAGAATTATCCAGATGGTGCCGGTTATGTATGCCTGTGTCCTGCTAACTTTTTCTACAATACAACAGAACGCGCATGTCAGAGTAAGTCATTAGATAATATCATTGCGGGAAGGGGAGGTTTCAGCAGATCTGTGAAGTGTAGACATCCTGTCTATTTCATTTGTAATGAAAGCAGCACTGGAATTTAACCATGTACTGAGTTTATGTAACATCCTACATCATTCAACAAACACATAGTTTATCACCAGTTTGGGAAATTTAGCTATGCTGGTCTTACTATTTCTTTTATATCCGTTACTTCCATCTTAACAATTTCTTCTGTCTCATCTATTTCTTAAGTCTTATTCATTTCCACTATTTCATCCATTTCTTTCATCTCCCATCCATTTCCACTCTTGTACATTAACCATTAGTTGATCTGAAGGGAGGGGGATTCCTGACCCTCCCCCCTCCCCCCTCCCTTGAGCTGCCAAGCAAAACAAATTCTAGAACCTACCTTTTCAGGACCTGTGAGCTGAAATTTTTCTTTTTGTTACAATGGTGAAATTAAATGATAGAGTTTACTGTCATTTTACGAATTGTATTGTTTTTTTACATTTTGTTTCAATGCATCTTAAATTTTCAAATTATAATGTATGTATAGCCTATGTAGCTTTCATCATAAAGCAATATCACTTAGCCTCAATAAATAGTGTTTTTCAAATAATAGTGTTTATCTACACAAACAAAGACTTTACATATTTATGTATTAGATCTGAACAAATTATATATTTTTTGTAGCATATCTCAGTGGCGGATCCAGGGAGGTTCAGAGGGTTCTGATGAACCCCTCCCCTTCCCCGTGGAGAAATGTAAAAAAAAACCAAAACCAATGGGTGCTGGCTACAAAAGGCATGCTAACCTACCTAGGTATAGATTGGCAAATCAGACAAACAAGACTTAGCCTAACTAGCTTTTATTTCAATATAATTAAAAGCACTGACTTTGGTTTAGATCCACCCCTGGACATCCTCTTATATATGTCTCTAGTATTTATTTAGTAAGTCGACCATGGTAAGCCCTCATAATTCTGACATTTCCCCCCCCCCCCAATCCAGATTCGCCGCTGTTAACTATGTTACGAAGCAACTTGATTATTAAACTTAATTAATTTATTGTTTATTTAGGCAATGATATTTGTGTTCGATCTCGTTTGCACTGCGGTAACGGAACATGTCATGAAGCATACGGTAAACCAGTATGTGTTTGTCCAAACGGATACAATTTTAATAGCGTGCGCAGATCATGTGATGGTAAGTGTGTTGTGAATGACTTACTTGTAAAGATCTGTCCAAATCTCTCAATAGACCAATTCAGTGATGGGTGTCACATGACCTAACTTGGGTGTTAGATATAAACAATTGGCTGGCACAGCGGTGTTTTAAATGTAGATTTGCTATTGCTGTCATCTCTTGTTATTGCTGTAAAGATCATAATTCCTAGTAAACTATACCAAATTTATTGGAAATTAAACTTGAGAATTTTGCCTTAATGGTTTGCTAATGCTGTAAAGAATACTGGCCGCAAACATTGAGATTTTTCGACTAATGTTTGGTCTAGGCCCCTGCACATCTATGGCATGGTTAGGTATGCATGAGGGTCTTTGACCCACAAACTACACTGCGATGTTAGGGCTAGCTAAGGTTTATGATAAACCACTTAAATTTCAAAGCATACAATCCTAGGAGAAAGCTAGGATAAGTAAATGAACACTATTTTGAACAATCGTATTGCCTTTCCTAGCCATTTATATCTCGCGTTAACAGTGGGTGGTTGTTTTCGCAAACAGAACATTATCTTTCCCTATACTATCGCACTGTAATGTTTTCCATGGTATACCCAAGGTATGACACGTGACCAGCTGTAAACAAACAATCAGTCTTGTTTGTTACTGGTACACAGATATTTGTTAAAAAATAATTGATCATTAAGCATTTGTATAGTTTTGTTCCAAAATGGTCTTTTTTTCTTTACTTGGCCTAACAAGGTTTTATTTATTAATTATAATAATTTGATGATGATGATAATGATGACAGTGGCAATGAAATTACGATACTGTAATTTCAATGTATGTAATGTTTCTTATAATATTGACAACTTGTTCATTTAATTTTAGTTGACAATGAATGCGTAGTGTATCCTGACATTTGCGGGAATGGTACTTGTGTGACGTTGCAATCTGGTCACAGATGTGAATGTCCACCTGCTTACGAGTTTGAGTCTATCTCTGAAAACTGTTTACGTAAGTAGAGTTTAAAAATATTGTAAAATACGAAACAAGAACATACGAATCTTAATATACATGCTGTAGTTTAATACAAATAAGATGAAGGAGAGGGGAGTGAGAAAGGGGGAAAACTACTCAGCCTCCTTGGCTATGAATACTTAGGCACCTAGATATCAAAATGTCATTAATGTAATTCCAAGCCCTGTTTTAAAAAAATTTCCCCCTTAATCTGAAAATATCTTTGCTATCCCATATTTATTTTAAACTTGAATACATTGTAATTTTTTAACAAATGGGTTAACTTTATGTTTATGTAACATATTTGACTTTCCCTATTGTAGGAGTTGACCAATGTTTGAAGCTAGATGGTGTCTGTGGTAATGGAACGTGTGTGGATGTGGACGGTATTATTGATTGCACATGTCCTGAAGGCTATGAATTTGACGTTCAACTTGAATCTTGTATTGGTGAGTTATTTTGCTGCTTCTAATATAAATGTAACATTTTGTTTATTAGAAATAATTAGCAAATATTGAAAGTAACATGCATAAAATATTGGTTTATTCAATCATTTATTTTTTTTTATTTATTCTTATATCTATTCATCTATTTAAGCACAGTGATTAAGAAAAGGGGAAAAAAAGGGAAAAGGAAGGAAAAAAATTAATTAATAATGTGATTATCTTTTGTATGTCGTGTTTTTTATTTGTGCAGCTGTTTTGCTGAATGATTTGAAAAATGTTTTAATATATACGGAGATTTCAGTGAATACTGCCCTCTGTTTTTATTGTTGAATAAATATGCCAGAATATATATATATATATAATGCGAAACTTAACAGAATACATAAGAATATACAATTGGTGATTAATCACCAGATCTATAACAATAGGTTACACAGATCTGGTGATTAATCACCCATTGTATATTCTTATGTATTCTGTTAAGTTTCTCATTGATACTCATGCGCTGACGAAGGTAACAGGAGTTGCCGAAAATTTCGCAAATAAAATATTTCTATGTCTCCTACAAGTCAAAGTATCATAGCAGTTTATTTTGTCTGCGTCTACC